TAGTCATGACTCTCCGGGAGGAAAAATACTGTTGGTGGTGTATGTAGATGATATTGTTATTACTGGRAATGATAACATGGGTATTGACAGGCTGAAGACTTATATGCAGGATCATTTTCAGACAAAGGATCTTGGTAAGCTGAAATACTTCTTGGGGATAGAGGTAGCAAGATCCAAGTATGGTATTAATCTGTGCCAGAGAAAATATGTGCTTGATTTGCCGGAAGAAACAGGTTTGTTGGGTGCCAAACCAGTTGAAACACCCATGGACACAAAACCAAGCTAAGCAGTGATATGGGTGAAGTGTTTGAAGACCCTGGCAGATACCGACAACTTGTGGGCAAACTGAACTACCTAACCATTACTACACCAGACATCTCATTTGCGGTTAGTGTGGTAAGCCAGTTCATGCAAAACCTCTGATTCCTCATTGGAATGCAGTTCTGAGAATTGTGAAGTATCTAAAAGGGGTGGCAGATACTAACGACTTGTGGGCAAACTGAACTACCTAACCATTACTAGACCAGACATCTCATTTGCGGTTAGTGTGGTAAGCCAGTTCATGCAAAAACCTCTGATTCCTCATTGGAATGTAGTTCTGAGAATTGTGAAGTATCTAAAAGGGACTCCGGGTTGCGCTCTAATATACAAGAGTGGCGGAAAACTTGAAATAGAAGGGTATTCTGATGCTGACTGGGCCGGTTCTATGTCTGATGACATGGAAAAGTAAGAAGCAGACGGTTGTGGCAAGAAGCAGTGCAGAAGCAGAATATAGGGCTATGGCGCACACCGCTTGTGAATTAGTGTGGCTAAGGAACCTTCTACAGGAAGTAGGGTACAACATCAACACTCCAATGGAGCTCTATTGTGATAATCAGGCTATAGTTCATATTTCCTCTAATCCGGTGTTTCATGAAAGAACCAAGCACATTGAGGTTGACTGTCACTTTGTGAGGGAGAAGGTGTTGAATGGAGAACTAGACACTACACATGTTAATACAGGAAATCAGTGGGCTGACTTATTTACAAAAGGCTTGAGTCGGAGAAGAGTGGACTACATATGTAACAAGTATACTCACCAGCTTGAGGGGTAGTGTTAGCGTAGGGGTAATTCTGTCTTTATACCTAGATTAATGTTAATGATCTGTAATGTTGTGTTGGAGCCAGTGCTCCTAACTTAAATAAGGGCACATGTGTCTTTTCAATCAGTTTTAATAATATAAGTTTTGTCTGGCCGACTGGGAGAAGGTTATGTTGAGACTTCCAATTCGAACCAGAATTTCCCCTTCTCTCTTTCTCTCTTTCTTCCACCTTTCTACCTCTTTCTACCTAACCGATCTCAGACAGATAGAGTTCTAAGGCAGGCCGAATCATAACAACTAGAATCCGTTTACTTGGACCCCACTTCTTCTAATCAAAGGGTTTGGACTCCTCTTCCAAAATGTACTTTTACTTGCTCTTATTTTCTAAAATCCCTCAGTTCTAACCCCATTTCCCAAGGATTCCCTATCAAAGAAGTCTGGACGCGACCTATTCCCCCAAAAATTGTTGTATTCTGCTAGGAAGTCTTCTATGGGAAAATCAATACTTTGGAAAACTTACAGAAAAAGAGACCCTCTCTTTGTCTTTCCCCAAATTGGTGTTCCTTGTGTAAGGCTGAGAATGAGGACTGTTTCCATTTGCTGATCTCCTGTTCCTTTGCT